CGATATTTTAATTATAAATTAATGATAAGTGCTTTAAATTTGCGAATATAATGGATATTAATGGTATGTTAATAATTTATAAATAATTATTATTTATTAAATATAATATTTTAATGACCAAAATATATTGAATAACATAATAAATGTTTATACATGTTAAGTTAATAACATGTGTTTTATATAAATTAATTGATTGTCGAAAATTGACATGATTATCAATTTTACTTATTATGATGTTTATGTGTTTAAATGTCAATTTTATAACCAGGTTACTTTTGAATGCGCATTTTGGATTTCATACTTACATAAATAAAATACTAGCTAATACTAATAAATTATTTACATTTTACAGTTTTAACCGTAAAACAAATAACAAATGAAAGTTATTTTAATAATTTATTTATACTGGTCACCTACTATACTTATACTAAGTAGTTTGTAACTGGTTTGTTTATTTATCATTACTTATCAATTAATTTGTAATGAAATATGTTTCGCGTTTTCAATTCACTAAAGAGTTTTAAATCACTTTTTATCGACAAATCAATTGATTGATTGTCACATCATATGATAAAACTTTATTAAATTTTCAACACAAAATTATAATTACATTAATTTTGTGTCTTAACATTAACCCCAATACAGTATATCACAAAAAAAGTTATTAACAAATATTTTTACAAAACATAATTAAATATACTACATTAAATACATAAATAACTCACCAAGTTAATCAACACTATTTACAAAAACAACTTTCTTAACAAGTGTTTAATGAATAAAAGTTTTGCAACACATATGAAAAGTTTTTAAAACTATTTCTAATTAACTAATAATTTTTTACAAATTATAACCTAGCTACAAAGTGTGCCATAAAATGCTAAACCGCGTGCAACGTGAGCTATCATCGGTACACCCCCTGTCCCTCTACCGCAAACAACGGCGCTCCACCACCACATCCATTAACTACACTCCCGGTGCCGGCAATAATCGACGCCAATCGCAGGCGGCCAACGGATTCGTGACTATCGCCTCGGGGACTACCGGTGCCGACAGCAACACAGGCGGCAATAAGAGGCTTAAGAAAATCATTAGCGAAGTGAAGGAGCGCCGGGAGATACGGGAGCGTAAAAAGTCGGACTTACAGGACATGGAGGGCTCCGACGCCGACGTGACCGTGTATTTCACAGACCCGGAGTTTATATTGACCAAAAACTACCAGGAGAAGTTAAAGGTGTACAACTTTCTGAATAGCCCGCAAAGTTTTTGGGCCCGAAGTTATCATATACTCGTGTTTTGTCTGGTGTTCGCCGGCCTTATTGTCACCGTTTTCTCTAATATAGGTCAGTGTGTATATGTGTGGTTAGGAGTGTGGTTGACCTACCAGTCCCCTAGTTTTTTTTTGTAATTTTATTTGTAGTTATTTTTTTTGTGTCAAATAATTAGTCAAATAAAGTACTGTAATTATTACATTAGGGTTTATTTTATTAGGAAAGGTAATCATTTACAGTATTGAGTGTTAACTTTACATGATAGGTTAATGATAGGTTTGCATAGACAGTATGTTAGGTTAGGTTAGATTAATATACTAAACACTTTATTAATTAAAGCTATAATAATAAAATTACAGTTTGTAATTTTTAAAAATTTTAAGTAATATACTGTACAATATTAGTATACTTAAATCTTAAATTCAATATTTATAATCATTGATTTTTAAAAAATTCTTATATTTAAATACTAATTTTTTAATTTATTATTAAATCAATTTCACTTATTATTTTGCAAACATTATGAACATTATATTATCAGACACAAAATACTTTTAAAAATACTTTTGAATACATAACTAAACAAATCCTAACATACCTAAACCTTTACTATATTAATACTAATCACCACTAAATTTACTTACCGTGATGTCGAACCCCTACCTTTCCCCTTATAGGAAAGTTCGCATCGAGCGCCTGGAAGTTCATATACCTGTTCGAGAAGTTCATAATCATATGGTTCTCATTCGAGTTCATACTCCGTCTGTGGTCCTCGAGCTGTAAGCAACAGTACGAGGGCTGGAGGGGTAAAATCAACTACATGTCCGTCCCGGCGCACGTGCTCGACGTCATCATAATCGTCTCGTCCATCCTGATCGTCATCCCTATCCACACGCGGAACGGGTCGGAGGTGTTCGCGGTGTCCGCCTTCCGCGGGTTTCACCGTTTTTTCTCAGTCCTACAGATTGTGACACTGAACCGTCAGCTGAAGCCCTGGAAAGTGTTGTCGTCCGTCATCTACGACCAGAGGGAGCAGTTGTTAATCATATTTTACATCGAGTTCATAGTGCTGTGCCTTTTGGGCTACATTTCCTATATAGTGGAAAAGGATGATAACGAACAGTTCGATAATATCGCGGAGGCCATGTGGTGGTCGGTATGTATTTGTGGGCATGGGGATGGGGGTAGAGGTTGGGGTAGTTTAGTATGTGCTTAATTAATTGATTTGTTTTTTATACTTGATGATGTAGGTGGTCACGTTGGCTACGGTGGGTTATGGGGATCGAGTACCGGTATGTAAATAGTTTTAAATTAGTATTTAACATGGTAAGTTTTATAAAAATAATACTGTGGGCTAATGAACAATATCGATAGATAGAGTTTGTATGTCATACAATGTATGAACAAGTGCAAATAATGTTAGCCAGTTTACTATTAATTTATTTTATCAATTAATGCTAAATGGCAACTACATAATTATTTTTATTAAGGGACAGTTAGTACAGTATACAGTGAAATTAACTAGCACATATTACGATTTAAAAATAGCTATATTAATATAATCAATTACAAAACTACCTACACTATTGCTCAAATTGCATTTATCTTGCTCCTACCACCACCACCTAGGTGACCTGGCTGGGCAAGCTCATCGCCAGCGTGTTCACCGTACTAGGGGTGGCCTTATTCGCCTTACCGGCCGGTATTATCGGTGCCGGACTGGCCCTTAAGGTCGAGGAGGAGGAGCGCAATCGGCAACGGAAAAAGAAAAAGGCGGCCGCGGCTACCTTGATACAATGCGCCTGGAGGTTGTACAAGTCCAGCATTAAATACAACGAGACATCCAGGTTCTTTGCCCACAAGCCTACGGATATCTACAAGTTTTACTACTTCGAGACGATTGAGAAGAAGTTCATTTGTTTGACGAAGTTTTTTATCGCCAAACAAAAGTTTGTGGACCTATTGAGGCCCCTGGATATCAAGAGTATCATCGAGAGCTATAAGTATGGTCAGCTAGACGTGATGAGCAGGGTGGGACATATGCAGACTACTATTGATACGATTGGTAAGTGTTTGTGTTTTTCTTGCTAGTTGCTTTTATGGATGTTTAAAGTTTTTAGTTTATTTGTTTTCATTATATTGTAGTTCGTTTGAAATTTGTTGAATTATGTTCTCTCTCTCTCTCTCTCTCTCTCTCTCACTCACTCTCTCACTCACTCACTCACGCAGTCATACACTCACTCACGCACTCACTTATACAAAGGTATTTGCACTCAATTTACCATGAATAACTTCAGTACTTTTTATCATCAAATATTATAATTAATTTAATACAGTACTAGCCCGGTGCTTTATATTAGCTAGATATAATCCAAAGCCTTGAATGCAGTGTTAGTACTGTATATTCTAAGAGATTACGGCTTATCCGTTAAGCTAATGGACAGTATTTTCAAATAAATAATTTTATTTTCATTTAAAGCCCGCATTTAGAAAGTATACAAATCAAAGAGTTTTGCTAAAAATAATGTTTATTAACAAATAAATCAAGTATTAATTGCAATGGAATGTGAATTAAGAAAATTGTGTGAATTTCTTGATTTGTGTCAAAGTTTACGCCAAATTCAGTGCAAATTGTCACAAAATCTTAGTGTTTTGTTTGAAGAGATTGAATGCGAAAATGCCGTGAATTTGTCAATGAATTGCAATTCAATTGATTTGAATTCGTGTAAAATAAGTGATAAAATGCCTTCCAATCGCAACACCATTAATACACTCAACACCTATCACTATGTCCACTGTTTTTGGCCTAAATGTCACTTTAATACTCGACATCAAAGTAAGTTAACTGTTCATCAATTAACGCACACGAGTATCAAACAGTTTAAATGTGATTTTGATAATTGTAATAAAGCTTTTACACAATTGGCACATTTATATCAACACAAAAACAGTGTTCATTTAAACGTGAGATATGCATGCGATGTACGTAAATGTGGCAAACAGTTTAAATGTGCATCACATTTAAATCGACACAAAAAAGTATCACATATGCGTGAAATTCCATTTATATGTAATGAACACAATTGTGGCAAAAGGTTTGCTTATAAACAAAGCCTAAATACACATAAACACCGACATTCTGATGATAAGCCATATGTGTGTCAATTCAATGGCTGTAACAAATGTTTTACAACAAACGCACACCTAAATCGACATAAGCGAATTCATACCAGATAAAATGTATCTCGATACTTGCACATTATATAAATTGTAACATAACTATTTATAATAGCTAAAACCATAGATTTATTTTCTATTCAATATTATAACTAAATTATGTTAACATACTGTATAATGTATATATATATATAGTATCATGATTGTAACTATTTATTTATAATATGTGTTTCAATTATAACCCGTATATTTATAAAATTTAATTAACACCATAATTATGAATATGATTGATAGGCACCCGGGTAGGCCTAAACGAGAACACCATACAGACCTCCCAGTCCCTACTCAACCAAAAGATCGATAACATCGACTCATTGATCACCGATATTGAGACAAAGCTGGACAAACAGATGGCTATTATCGATAGGCTGTCCGCACATCCCGTGTTTGATCAGAGATTTT